ATTAAAATTTTCATTTTCGTTCTTCTACTCATTTTCAACCACACATTCTTCATTAAAATAATATTTTCCATCACATCAATAACTTTTCCTTCTTTTTCAACCACACATTCTCCATCAATCTACTATTCCAAAATACATTTTTCCAAAATAATATCCATCAAACACACCCTAGGAATACAAGTTCAAAGGCAGACAGGCTAAAATTGATCGCTTCATTCATTCTTGTTACCTATCAAACTAAAGAGAAAATCTAACACGAATCTTAAGTTTCATTAAAAATGTTAAGGGCGACATTGAATATTTTGTTATTATGAATAATGGAATGGATAGAGCGGCCATGTGGATGTTTGGTGACTCATTTGACGCAAAAAATGGTTTGCGTATTCACGATCAATATCAAATGAAACGGCAATGAAAAAGAGGAAGACACAAGTAATACCTTGAGTAAGATTGCATCTGCAGAAGGAATCGATTCAAACATGTCTCCTCCAACGTAGCACAAGTTCTTAGTCCCTTCCAAGCCGGCAACAACATGTGGAAGATCAAGGTGTCACGTAAAGTTCAAACCTTTGGCAACAGCAATAATCTTGGACAAAGTTCCTGTTCCACCTCCCACATCTACAATCGAATTCAAACCTTCAAATACATGTTTACAATCTCTAATAAGCACACTAGTCACCAACCGTGCGTCACTAGCCATGGCTTCATTGAAGAAGCTGTTCAACCTTGGCTCCTGCCCTGCATACTCCCAAAGCATCCTCCCATGTTTAGTATCAAATGGCGTGGGATTCTGATCACTTTTAAACCACTCGCTTAGATGATGCCATGGCTCTGTCAAAACCGGATCAAGCATGGCTAGTAAAAATGGTGTCACGCTCAGAGGCTCGTCTTTTAAGAGGAGACGAGAAGCTGATGTAAGCCAATATCCTGTATTTTCTTCATTCTCGGAGATTTTGGCGTTGATGAAGAACCCTGAATGGATTAAAATTCGCATTAGGCGGGAGACAAATTGAGATTTTGATTCGTTCATAGGGAGGGCATAGACTAGTTCGGGCAGTGTCATTGGTTTGCCATGTTTATGGATAATATCAGGTATGCCTAGTTGGATTGCACACTTGAGAGACATGGAATTTATGAAGTTGAAAATGTGGTTCCAAATGTGAGCTTGAGCACGAAGAAGCTCTGTAGATTGCTCTCCATTTGGCAATGCCATTTCAATGTCAATTTGGATTTCTTAGAAGTACTTGTTTTATAAATTACACTGGCATTAGATTGCTATATATAAATGAATACAGCATTTTAATTGGGCCAAACACCACGTGGTGTTTCACGTGGTGTTCAGCATCCATTCTAATCTGACTGCCCCTAAACTGCAGCGTTTGTCCAAACATAATATTTTTTTCATATAATTAACCGACTCAACGTGGTGACACATTTTTTTTCATTTTAAAATTCTGATTTCTAAACTTCAAAAATAAAATAATAAAAATACACAAATAATCCTTTCTCAAATAATTTGTTTGCCGTCTATGCCTCTTCTATCAAAACTCCAAATTTCATAAGAAAATAAAAACAAAGAGAAGAATTCTTCGTTGTAAACTCCAAATTCAGATTGTAGCTTACTTTCATTTTGTCGTAATTGTTTGTTGCTAAACAATCAAATACGTAAGATGATTTTGAAGCAACATGCCATTTACCATTTATATATACATAGACAAGCTAAATTTTTAATCCAAAATATGTAGGCAAATTTTTCTAACTTGGACAAATGTTCAAACCGGCTAATTAAACAAAAACTGATCTAAATTGGTTCGATTCGATTCGGTTCAATTTTAACATGTGGATTGGGTCAATTTGGATTGAAATTTATCCAAATAGATCAATTCAATTTCGGGTTGAGCCCAAAACCAACTCAACCCGAAACATGCCCAAGCCTAGGTGGGTGGGTGACTTTAATTGGGAAAAATGAATTTTTTTTTTAACGATTGTGCTACATGTACATAATAATTTAAATACAAATGATACAATGATATGATTAGGTCAAATTTTCTACAAAAAAAAAACGTTCTCACTCTTTTTGACGCATCATACATTATATACAAATAGCATTATTCATTTTCATATGAATCACAGGACAAAGGAAACTGACGCTCATAATTATCTTCATAATTGAAAAGCAAGCAAATGTTCATAATTTACCATATTATGAACAATTGTGCCTATCTAAATTATTGATCCACTTGAGATTCTTGTCGTGGTTGATCTTGATGTGGGGCACCAATTTACCATATTTTGCATGATTTTGAATTCTATCTTAATAGATCAATTTTATTAAAATGAGCAACATAAATTATCATATATTGATATTTTAATTCATACAAGACTGTGGTTCATTTGAGAACGTCAATTTTGAAATTCTTGTACTTGTTTCGAGTCTTAGTCGCAAAATATTGCTTATTGGTGCTTAATAAAATCTAATGTTATATTCAAACTTGAAACTCCATGTTAAAATTCAACTTTATTAAGAAGAACCGCATAAGTTCTTACATATTAGTTAATATTTTATCTTTGTTTAACGTGAAATTTATCGTTAACAATAAGTTCTCAAATGAATCTTGCTCAAGGAGCATTTTTTGAGTTGATACTAAGTGATAAAGGATTTTTTAGAGTCTGGTGGTCATTTTGGGCCAATTTTAATCAATAAAGTGACCGTTGGTAGGGTCCACACCACTCATGGCCGGTCAAACATT